TGTAACGTTTCCTTCAAGTCCTGCAACCCTGGACGACAACTTCCCTTACTACTAACACTGCAAAGATACTGTCACGTGTTGATACCTCCAGTGTTGAATTGTATTGATGAAACAGTGGTGGTGATTTGTATTGTTATCATATGATGATTTAGTTTGTTGCACGAATACCTAGCTGAGTCTGCCCCTTAATGTTGAATTGCCTGACTTGGTTCACCATATCTCTGAAGCTAGGATTTCTTTCAGTTTCACTTGGTTGTTCTCTACTGTAGTTAGTTTCCTCTTCTCTCCTGCTGTAGGACGACCTAGTAGAGGATGCCAGAAGTGCAAGGACATCACAGTTTGTGACGCCCTGATCTCCGACATCCCCATCCTATTCTTCTACCTCTAGTACTCAAGTGCAGCTAACCGGTTTCACAGAATCCCTTGCAGATTCTCCAACAGCCTATCATCCCACTACTACTTAAAACCTCCCACACTACTTCCCTCCAACTCTTCCTGGGTCACTTAGCCTTAATACCATAATCTGTAAGGATTTAATGTTAAGAATTAATCTAAGTCTGCCCGAAATGCCTAGCCATGCTAGGTGTCCTAGTGGCCCCCTCTGTAATTAGTATTTTATAACATGTAAACCACACAATACCCAAAACCTTGTAACGCTTATAGAGAATAAACCTGAATTGAATTGAAAAACAATCCCTCCTTTCGTTCTCTGATTTGGTCATTGTATTCAGATCCATTCTTTCTAAATTCTCAACCAGCACCGCCACACTCTGAGTTACAGCTCTACAACCTCTTGTTCATTTTTTTATTCTTTTGAATTCTTTGCATAATATCCACACTACACAGTATGGATGTACCTTCGACCAATCTTAAAACTTTGTATTCTCGTAGCCCAACCTCAGACTATGCTTCTCAGTTGATCAACTAGACTGTCGGTGTGCTGCCAGTAGATCTGCACACCCATGACAACCCAGTTGATCTGGCAATTTCAGGAGGTAGTGATCCAGTTTCCTGGTGACAAGTTAGTGTGTAAGTATCATTGTATGGATGATTTAACACATTCGCACATTGTGAATTGTAAATTACACAAATTGTTGAATAGAAAAATATCACGTTTTTATTTTGTTTTAATAAAAGGTTAATTATCAAATTAAACTTTTCAAGAGTAAAATACTAACATAAAATATTAACATTAATAAAAATCTAATTTTTTTTTTTTGACAATGAGTTATGGAAAAATATAAGACATAATCTCATAAGCTTAGCATATTAAATTAATTAAGGGATAAAAATCCAAATTCAACTTGTATCAAGTATTTTTTTTTTTTGGACTAGGTCTATTTAAAATTAGATTAAAGAGTTGTGATTCCTACTTGAACCTCAGAAAACATCTAAACACTAGAATAAATTTTCTTAATCCGATTGGCCTGGAACGATGGTTGTTTATTTTGATGAACCAATAAATCTTGACTCATACACTGTGTGTATTATAATTTATCATAGTGTGTTCTATAATCTAATTATATACTGTGTGTATTATAATTTAGTTTTACACTGTGTAAAATTGGTCAATTAGCAAGAACTAATTAAAAATTAAGTTCTTTCTAAAATTTTCTCTTATATGATTAAAGATATATTTTTTTCATTTATATTAATGTAAAAATTAATAATTTTGTACCAAAAGCACCTTAGAAAACTTACCTAACATTATAACCAGCGCAATTTAATTTAGCCTAATCCAACTAAATACGTTTTAGATAAGTTTACAATAAGTTAATAATAAACAAACACACTTAAATATATTTTTTTCGTTAGTTTTAGAATGATTTTTGCGAAATTATTTCATACACAAATTTTCGCTTGTCTTATTCAGCAAGAAGAGCGTTATTATATAAGCCAAAATTGCAAGTTTTACCTATTCGGCACGAGATACACGCGCGCGCGCGCGCGCGCACACACACACACACAACACACACACACACACACACACACACACACACACACACACAACACACACACACACACACACACACACACACACACACACACACACACACACACACATTATATATATATAATATATATATATATATATATATATATATATATATATATATATATATATATATATATATATATATATATGTCGTGCCGAATAGGCAGAACTTGCGATCTTGGCTTAAATAGCAACGTTCATCTTGCCATATAGGACAAGTGAAAATTTGTGTATGCAATAAATTCGCCAAAATCATTCTGAACCTAACGAAAAAAATATATTTCACTGTTTGTTTAGTAGTAAATTACTGTAAGCAAATCTAAAATATATTTAGTTGGGTTAGGCTAAAATAAATTGTTCTTGTTAGAATAAGGTTAGGTAAGTTTTCTAAGATTCTTTTGGTGCAAAATTAAACATTTTTGCATTAACATTAATGAAAAAAATATATCTTTAAACGTATAAAAGAAAATTTCAGGAAGGACTTAATTTTAAATGAGTTCTTGCTAAGTGACCAGTTTTACATATTCGGCACGACATATATATATATATATATATATATATATATATATATATATATATATATATATATATATATATATATATATATATATATATATATATATATATATTAATTTATATATATATATATATATATATGTATGTGTGTGTGTACTGTAATTTGCTTAAACAAAGTGCTCAATTTACTTAATGTGCACTAACATGTGCTCATATAAAAGCATATAGAGTGCGCGTGTCGGGTAGTGTAGCAGCAGCACCATCGTGGCGGCGCTCTGCCCATGAAGCAAGACGAATATGCAGATTCTGTCAATGACTCAGCTACTCGGGATGCTCTTGTAACTTCCACTGACTAAATTCTTGTCACAGATGAGGCAGTCATAACTCTTGGTTGCCATTGTGGCCATAAGACTTTCAGCATTTCCCACAACGTACCTATGTAAGCATGGATTCTCTCCCTTTTTTATCCATTAAAATTAAATTTTATGCTCGGCTCTTTGTGGAGGATGACCTCAGGGAAGCCGTCAATAGCAGCAGCCTGAATTGAAGCTCTGGCTTTGAGTAAACAATCACATCATTACCTCTGATATATCTTTGATGGGATGTTTTATTATTCCCGCAGCCCGGCCCTGGGCCAGGCTTGTCTGGTGCTTGCCTGGTCAACCAGGGTGTTGCTGCTGGCGTCCCACTGGCTCACATATCTGTCACAGCCTGGTTGATCCTGTACTTAGCGGAAGAAATTGTGTCGTTTCCTCTTAAAGATTTCTACACTTGTTCCAGCAGTGTTTTTGAGATCTGGCCAGATAGTGTTCTCTTATTGTGCCCACGGCGCCCATGCCTTTCACGGAGTTTATTTTACACACATATTTCTTAATCCAATATGGCATTGTGCAGAATTGGGAGCAGAACCTTAAGTACTTTTCAGGTATATATTATCATGCAAAACAACCTCGGGGGTGTGGCTGTTTTGCATGTTGTATCGCTTGTTCACGATTATTGTATAATATATCCTCTCTCTCTCTCTCTCTCTCTTCTCTCTCTCTCTCTCTCTCTCTCTCTCTCTCTCTCTCTCTCTCTCTCTCTCTCGCTCCCCGCTCCACTGACTACATACTCAAGACTTTGAGGCGTTCCATTAATGTATACATTAATGTATAACCTCCAGGTATCCAGGTAACCTCCAGGCCATAAATGATCTTTGAATCTGTTCCTCATCTGATATGTCATCTCATCCCTCAAAACGAATTTCCCTAAACCTAAAACAATTTTAAAAAATATTTCATGTCTTAATTGCTGTTTTTACCGAAATTTCTATGTTAATTTATAAACAAAAGCGTGTTTTCTTAATAAGATATTTTTGCAAGCGTGTTTTTTGTCATGTTGCATATTTTTGCAACCTTGCCAGCTATATAGCTGGCAAGGTTGATGTTTGGATGGATTGTAGGGTCGATGTTTGGATAGATGGTGTTTGGATAGATGGTTGTGTTTTTTGGTTAGATGTGTGGATAGCTGTGAAAACGGGAGGCTAGGTGGCTTAAATCACTTGAATTATGCTTTTTTGAAGGTAGGCGAGAAAGATACAGTATAATTTACTCCTGGAAAATTTTAAGAGGGATCAGTCTAAATCTTCATACTGAAATCTCTCCCCACGAAAGCAAGAGGCTGGACAGATTGCAAAATGCCTCCAGTGAATAGCAAGGTGGCGGTGAGTACAGTGAGATTAATAAGTGTAAAGGGACCGAGACTTTTCAACACCCTCCCTTTATGAATAAAGGGAATTACCAACAGGCCTCTAGCTATCTTCAAGAAACTTAGTAATGTCCTCAAGTGTGTTCTTGACTTACTTGAGCTGTGGTAGTACTTTGAACTGCGTGAGGCTAGCCCCATCAGTTTGGTTGACCAGGTCAACAACCAGAAGACCTGGTTTGGGACCGCGCCGCGGGGGTGATCTCCAAAATAATCTTCAGTCTCAGGTCTTCAGGCTGTGAGTATGGATGGATGGCGTTTTGAAAGAACTGAGGGCTCTCTGAGTGGGTGGCCCGGCTGGCACACGGGCGGACTGACTGGTTCACGGGTTGGCGGATGACCTGCCTGATGGGTTTGCTGATTTGCCGAAGAGTGGATGGACAGGTAGCATGTGTGGCAGGCAGGCGGATGGTCTTACTGGAAGATGGGTGGTTGGGCGGTGTGACTGGGTGGTAGGTTTAGCAGGAGGGTGGGCTGGCGGGCTGGCTAGCAGGCTGACAGGCGGGCAGGCAGGCGGGCGGGCGGGCGGGCTTATTGTCTGACGGGCCCGGGGGCCGACTGGCTGATAGATGCCTGAAGGATTTGCTGACTGGTAGCTAGTTGGATGGATGACTGGGTGATTGGGCGGCTGGCTGACTGTGGTTGGTTGTGGGCGGTAGCTGGGAGGACTCTGGGTTTCCCCTCCCCTCCCCTCCCCAGTCATAGCGAGGGGAGCAGTGCTGTACACGGCCGCCCTCAGTACGCTCCGGGCCGCCGCCGCCGCTGCTGCTGCGTGTGTGTGTACCTCGTATAGTGTGTTGCCGCCGCCACTCCGTGTTCCGGTGATTCTTCCGGTGCGGTCCGTGTTTCTACTCGGGCACAGCCATCCACTGCTGTCTCTGCGTAGCACCTAGATAAAGTATTTCATGCCCACCTTGTGTCGTAGAGGAGGCCAGAACGACCGGCGGCTTTCTAGTTGTGTTTGGCGTCGAAAGGAGCGTGACATCGAAGTGACACACTCGAACTGGGTGGAAGTGTACTCATTTAAGTGTGTGTGTGTTGTGTGTGTTGTGTGTGTTGTGTGTGTTGTGTGTGTTGTGTTGTGTGTGTTGTGTTGTGTGTGTTGTGTTGTGTGTGTTGTGTTGTGTGTGTTGTGTTGTGTGTGTTGTGTTGTGTGTGTGTGTTGTGTGTGTTGTGTTGTGTGTGTTGTGTTGTGTGTGTTGTGTTGTGTGTGTTGTGTGTTGTGTTGTGTGTGTTGTGTTGTGTGTGTTGTGTTGTGTGTCGTGTTGTTTGTGTGGGGGGGGGGGGGGTGTCAAGAGAATTGTATCACCTAGGGAAGGAAGTTTTAGATTTTTGTTTAAAGTTTGGAGTAACGATGGTAGGGTAATGACGGGTGACACTGACGTCAGAAAGGCAACTGTGGTCCTACCAGTTGACGTCATCAAGATTCCTTTCTGCTCCATCCTCCTCTTCTTTCCCCCCTCCCCCTAACTGATACCAAACTGCCGACATCCCCGGCTGGGCGGCCCACTCATGCCTGCCCTCCCGATCCTGTGTCGAGGAACCCTCAGTCTAGTAGAACGCTGGCTGGTGAGTGGTGGTGGTGCTGTTGCTGCGTTCAGCTGTAGCCGTCTTTTACCCCCACAACACCATCCCACTGTGTGTAATCGGTTAGCAACAGTAAGCTAGATTCCTCATGGGAACGATGGAGCCAGATGTATCCTCGCCTCGAGCAACAAGAAAGATTTGAGGGGCCCTGAAGATAGTTGTACATAGTCTTGTTACGGCGGTGAATATTGTGGGAGCCGTGGCTGATGGACGCTGGGAAAAGCACCGTAGTTGAACGCTGGAGGAAGAGATATGGTTGGTGAACGCTGGGGAAAGAACCGTAGTTGAACGCTGAAAAGTTAACTTGGTTGATAAACGTTGGGGGAGGGACAGGATTGGGAGGTCATTATAATGCCGGTAACATACTGCCTAGGCAGTGTGCTCTCTTGTGATGCCTAACATATTGATGGTGCTAACAATAGTTCCCTTGTAATTTATTACTTCCAAGCCTGTCTTAGTGAAGCCGAACATTCTCTTGAATGCTCGCGTATATTGATGTCTTAATAGGGTTTTGGCGTTGGTGTCAAGTTAGGGTGTTGAGGCGGCGTGGGCGTGGGACTGCCCTGTCTGGCAGGCACTAGTGCCGGCACTGTCATGGCTACTCTCTCCTCACTAGCTCTTCTAGGAGTCTGGGTCATACTGTTGCTCTGCCTAGTACTTGACACATCGAAGACAGATGAACGAGATACTGTCCAATAGTAGGACAGCGATATCGATTCGTTTCTGTCTGGATCCGAAAAATCGATGTGAGAGAGGGGGAGAGAAAGAGAGAGATGGAGAGAGAGAGTGGCAGAGAGCGAGCCGGGGTGTTGGGGGGAGGGGATGGAGGTCCAGGGCGGCCACGCCTCTCTCCGCGTGTGTTCCGCTGGGTCCTTCTTGTTCGCCAGCATTTTATCTTTTCATCGCCTTCACTATTGACTGCACTGCGGGCTTTTACTTTAGGCCCTCACCCGTAAAGTGCCTGGTGAGGGCTGCCTCAAACCCCATTGACAAACAAGCACGCAAACATATGCGCTCCTCCTCGCGTGTGGTCGCAATATTAAAAGAAAAGTATAGCTTTTTATAGCGTGTGTGCGTGTGCGTGTGTGTGCGTGTGCGTGTGCGTGTACGCGCGCGCTAGGACAATTGTTGTCGCATGATCTTGTAACAGTGGTTCGGAAACTCCGACACTCTCCGTGTGCTCTCTTCTGAGGAGCCTTAAGTCATGCATGGCAGCCGACACTGTAATTGTCCCTTCAGTAAACGAATATAGTATCAAGATGCGGCATTCATGCACTAGAGGGCCATGGCCTCACTCAGAGGGATCAATGTCACCGTCATGCACCCCGGTTTACCCCTCAGACACACTACCTTGTTGTGAAGAGTAAATATATTGTGCCGGGAGAGCCCTTGTTGACCTGGTCTTGTGATGGTCTCGTGTTGACCTGGTCTTGTGATGGTCTCTTGTTGACCTGGTCTTGTGTTGACCTGGTCTTGTGATGGTCTCTTGTTGACCTGGTCTTGTGATGGTCTCTTGTTGACCTGGTCTTGTGATGGTCTCGTGTAGACCTGGTCTTGTGATGGTCTCGTGTAGACCTGGTCTTGTGATGGTCTCGTGTAGACCTGGTCTTGTGATGGTCTCTTGTTGACCTGGTCTTGTGATGGTCTCTTGTTGACCTGGTCTTGTGATGGTCTCGTGTTGGCCTGGTCTTGTGATGGTCTCTTGTTGACCTGGTCTTGTGATGGTCTCTTGTTGACCTGGTCTTGTGTTGACCTGGTCTTGTGATGGTCTCGTGTAGACCTGGTCTTGTGATGGTCTCGTGTAGACCTGGTCTTGTGATGGTCTCGTGTAGACCTGGTCTTGTGATGGTCTCTTGTTGACCTGGTCTTGTGATGGTCTCTTGTTGACCTGGTTTTGTGATGGTCTCGTGTTGACTTGGTCTTGTGATGGTCTCTTGTTGACCTGGTCTTGTGATGGTCTCGTGTAGACCTGGTCTTGTGATGGTCTCGTGTAGACCTGGTCTTGCGATGGTCTCGTGTAGACCTGGTCTTGTGATGGTCTCTTGTTGACCTGGTCTTGTGATGGTCTTTTGTTGACCTGGTCTTGTGATGGTCTCGTGTTGGCCTGGTCTTGTGATGGTCTCGTGTTGACCTGGTCTTGTGATGGTCTCGTGTTGACCTGGTTTTGTGATGGTCTCGTGTTGACCTGGTCTTGTGATGGTCTCTTGTTGACCTGGTCTTGTGATGGTCTCTTGCTGACCTGGTCTTGTGATGGTCTCTTGTTGACCTGGTCTTGTGAGTCTTGTTGACCTGGTCTTGTGATGGTCTCTTGTTGACCTGGTTTTGTGATGGTCTCTTGTTGACCTGGTTTTGTGATGGTCTCTTGTTGACCTGGTTTTGTGATGGTCTCTTGTTGACCTGGTCTTGTGATGGTCTCTTGTTGACCTGGTCTTGTGATGGTCTCTTGTTGACCTGGTCTTGTGATGGTCTCTTGTTGACCTGGTCTTGTGATGGTCTCTTGTTGACCTGGTCTTGTGATGGTCTCTTGTGACCTGGTCTTGTGATGGTCTCTTGTTGACCTGGTCTTGTGATGGTCTCTTGTTGACCTGGTCTTGTGTTGGTCTCTTGTTGACCTGGTCTTGTGATGGTCTCTTGTTGACCTGGTCTTGTAATGGTCTCTTGTTGACCTGGTTTTGTGTTGGTCTCTTGTTGACCTGGTCTTGTGACGGTATCTTCTGTCAGTGTTGTGACGTCAACGGTGTGATGGTGTATTCTGTTACTGTTGTGGCGTCAGCAGTAATGGTGTCCTTTCATTCACTGTTGAGGTGTCTTCCAATGTCACTGTCGTGGTAGCATCGGTGTGGTGGGGTCCTTTCTGTCACTGTTGTGTCATCGGTGTGGTGTAGTCTTGTCACTGTTGTGGTGTCATCAGTGTGGTGTAGTCTTGTCACTGTCGTGTCGTCATTGGTGAGGTGTGGTCTTGTCACTGTCGTGGCGTCAATGGTAAGGTGTGGTCTTGTCACTCGTGACGTCAACGGTGAGGTGTGGTCTTGTCACTGTCTTGGCGTCTCTGCCATGGCGTCAGCGGTGAGGTGTGGTCTTGTCACTGTCGTGGCGTCTCTGCCATGGGGTCAGCGGTGAGGTGTGGTCTTGTCATTGTCGTGGCGTCAACGGTGAGGTGTGGTCTTGTCACTGTCGTGGCGTCTCTGCCTTGGCGTCATCGGTGTGGTGTGGTCTTGTTCTGTCGTGGCGTCAACGGTGAGGTGTGGTCTTGTTACTGTTGTGTCATCAACGGTGAAGTGTGGTCTTGTCACTGTCGTGGCGTCTCTGCCTTGGCGTCATCGGTGTGGTGTGGTCTTGTTCTGTCGTGGCGTCAACGGTGAGGTGTGGTCTTGTCACTGTCGTGGCATCAACGGTGAAGTGTGGTCTTGTCACAGTCGTGGCGTCAAAGGTGAGGTGTGGCGTCTCTGCCTTGCTTGGTTGGGGGTCGCATTAAGTAGGGATTTGCGCCACTTTTTTCGTTTTAATCTAATTGGAAATAGTTAAAAATGGATAAGTTTAACGAAGTTTGAATTAGTTAGCGGAGGAAAGTGTAACACGGATCTGTGTTTGCTCTCTCTGTTGATGAAAGTTAAAAATAGTTCTGCCTTTCTCTTGAACTTTTTAAAAATAGACTAAATTATCTCTTTTGTACCTTTCACTTCTGAAAATAGTTTAATAAATTCTTTAATTTTATTCTCCTACGTTTAAAATGAGTTTTATGACTTGTAAATAGTGTTCTTGGTATTGTTCGAAACGTCGGTTTTGAGAGTCCCTCCCTTTATGGTCTGTTTTTCGTGTCGTTTGTAATAAACTTGTGTCATGTTGACACAAATGAGTTGACATTTGGGTTAAGGGTCATTCCATTATCTTCCATGTCAAGGGTTGGGAAAAACAGCGGAGAGGTGGGCTAGATGGAGGAGGCATTGGAGGGAGCGAGGATGAGGGAGGTCACTGGAGGCCACTAGGATGAGGGAAGTCACTGGAGGCCACTAGGATGAGGGAAATCACTGGAGGCCACTAGGATGAAGCAAGTCACTGGAGGCCACTAGGATGAAGTAAGTTACTGGAGGCCACTAGGATAAGGGAAGTCACTGGAGGCCACTAGGATGAGGGAAGAGGCACTGAAGAACATGAGGAGGGAGGAAGCTGTTAAAATTAGATACATCGGCAGTGTGCGGCTACCCTGTTCATGGGGTTCATACAAGGTGTTGAAATCTGTCAGCCTGAGTTAGGAAAACTTTAGCAGAGCAATGGGGATACCATCAAGTATTCCAGGAAAGGTTCATCAGC